CAAAAAAAGTTTTAGGATTTTAATTTTAATTAAAGAATAAATTCTATATTATATATATGTATATATATACTTACTAAATTATTATACTAATTATTACTATTTTATTTTAATTGAAAATATTAAATAAAATAACTAAAGAATAAATCTATTTAACCTATTTATATATCTTCAGTTATAGTCCAATTATCTATATTTTGAGTTCTAAAATTATAAAAAAAAATTGGTTAACTGTAACAAACAAAAAATGGGGTGATGGAAAAAAAATTCCCATCCCGAAAATAAAAATCTAAATACAAAAAAATTATTAAGAAATAAAAAAATGTAGAATTTTGAGAAAAAGTATAATGTAAAGGTATAATGGGTATTAAAAAGATATAACATTAATTATTTAAGGTATAATAATAACTCTACCTTTATCTTTAAATTTGATGTAGTGTGAAAAAGAGTATCTGAATTGGTTCCAATCTAGTTCGGATCTAGTTTAAGGATTTAAAAAATAAAATTATATAATTTATAAGTGTGAACAAATGTGAACACACAGTGTGAACAAATGTGAACACACAGTGTGAACAAATGTGAACACACAGTGTGAACACAAGGGAGTTGGCATTTAGTAAACTAGTTAATACCCTGGGCAATGCCCGAGCCTTGAAATTAAAAAAATAAAATAAAATTTTAATATTAAAAGGAAATTAGTAATGAAAGGATATATTATTACTTAAAAGAAAAATATGATAGTGAATTCTAGGGCATTTAATCCTAATTATGTCAATCTCACAATATATGCATATTTAGCTGCTTGGGGATACAATAAAAAACAACAAAATACTCGCGATATTGTGTCTTATTATAGCCATAATAACTGTTGCCATATATGATTCACGAATAACATGGACAACACAACCTCAATGTAAGGAATCTGCCATAGGAGGTTTCTGCAATCAAAATTCAACTTGAAGAAATGAGAATTGTCTCATGTTACATAACACATTATCAAATGTGTTTTGCAAGAATACATTTATAAAAAACAATGGAAATTAAATAAATACCTCAAAAGTATATTGTAATGAAATTCACCCACAATGATGCCAGTGAAGCATAGCAATTAAACTAACAACAAAAGTTATGAAGCCTATAGCAAAACTCAAATAAAAGTACAGTTAAGTATGTAGAATAGAATTAATAGCAAGCAAACTTTCTTTAAGATATCTCTTTATACTAATTCAAAATTTAAATAAGCATTTCTTGTCATTATCCAATCTGTCTTTATATGCAAAGTGTTATTCTTGTTAAGTATCTTTTAGACCATGTTCAAACTTCCTTCACCAGTACAAAAATGCTCTTCTCAATTCATAGTCACTAAAAAGTCAATGTAAAAAGCAGTAAAGTCAATAATGAATCCTAGTATCCTACATACATATATTTTATACTGCTGGATGATTTTGCATCAATACTTGTAAACAAATTCCCAATTCTAGCCACCTTTAACATATGTAATTATGTATTGCATTTTACATGTTGCATTTTGTTGTCTCCATGATACCCACAAAGGAGAAGGAAATAAACAGAGGTAAGGTAAAATGGTAAATCCCATAGCCTTAGGTTTACATGCATCTAAGAAAATTCAGTTACAAACTATTGATTAGAAGATAAGGAAAATTTTAAATAATCATAATGTTTTTTGCTAAAAAAAACAGAGTTACTAACCAAAACTGCAAGCACAAGGGTGTCAATGAGTAGTATCACTAGCAAGTATTATTTGATTGTAGCAACATACAAACTTTTCAACAACTTCAGCATGCATCACCTATAACTTTATATCAATAACAATTATAATTGAGAGCTCTCTACCAACCAATTTGATTTGTTAACTTCTTGCATGTCTACACAAATTTGCATTCTTTCAGAGCAATCGTTACAAAAAATGGAGAAAGAACCTTATTACATACCAAATCTTACAATTAAAATTTTTTAAAAAAAGTTCATCCCATATATCAACTATTAGGATAATGTGAAAATCATTCAAGAATAGTTATAATTAACTAATTTGTCTTGTACATGAGATAATAATTGTATAAGCAGAAAGCTAAAGCCTAAACTTATGCATATCTCAAGGGTTAATCTTTGGCGATTTCTTCATGTTAAACTAATGATGCTACATAAGATGGCACTTTCATACCATGATAGGTTCACAATAGTGCACTGTTCTGAGTTAGAGGAGAAGAATACTGCGTGGCAAAGCCCAGAATGCTGTCTCGCACATCCCTCTGAACTTCAGTGATGTATTTTGACCAATTATTTCACATTGATCGTCAAGAATCTTAATTCGCTTTACACAATAAGGGGCAAAATGAATGTTATTGGACTTTTCTGCTGAGAGCATTGTAGGGGAAAGGGGAAAGGGTAGCTTTCGCTAAGTTATACATTGAGGGTTCGTTTGATGTAGCTTTCCAAGGGCTTCAGTTTTTTACATTATTTATATTTCATAAGTTTAAATTTTTTTTT